GAACTATCGTCATCATCATCATCATCATCACGGTCGCCGTCCCGTCATCAACACCTGGTACAGGGCTGCGATTGTGAGCTTGAGTCGCCGGCGTTGGATCTGGACTTTCGCTGGACATCGTCGCATTTTGCGATATGTCGGTTTTTCCGGCCGGGAAGCAGTCGGAAGCAGGCACGGTGGTCAGGCAGACAACAAGGGTTTGGGCGGCGCAGTCCCGCATTCCATTGCGACCTTGGTGAATGGTCGTATTTTTGTGTGATCATTTCAAGTCGTCAGTCAAGCGAGCCGCTATGGCTTCTCTGCGATGGACCGACTGTAAACTCTGTTCGAAACCATGGCAGCTTCTCTGCGATGGACCGACTGTAAACTCTGTTCGAAACCATGGCAACTTCGACATTCATAGACACACAAACAGATGGACATGATTTTGTTCAGTGTGCTTGCTGACTAGCGGCTAGCGTCAGTCAGTCTTAATTACAGACCATTGACACAGCTCGTTTGCATTTGGTTCGGCTGCGGCGGTCAACACTCAGCACGTCCTGCGCTGGTCCTCCTACCCATGCCTCGGCTTAAAACTATTCCATCCGAAGCTGGACCGGCAAAAAAGCAGCAAGGAATCGCTTGGTAATCGCACGGAAACAGTGGATTCATTGCAGGACGTCTGGTGCAAACCAGAAAGACCTGCTGCTGTTCGAGCACCTGGCTGCAAGTCAGGCTCCTTGGACCAAACGAGGTCAAGGGCTTGTGGCTGTCAGAGTTTTTGCGTCTCCGTTACATGGTCTTGAAGATTTCGATGCCCAACGTGCGGAAGTCGTAGTCTGGGCTGGAAGGGCTCGTTGGCAATCTCTGGTGTGCTGGTCCGGGAGATGCAAGTGGAAGCCGGCACAGGCTATGACATGCGATTCATACTTGGGAGGCTTCAGGTTACGACTTTTCAGTCCCGCGCACAGTCGCGGTCTCGGTCTCTTTTATTCTCTTGACCAGAATCCCTCCCCCGCAGCTCGCAGCCTGGCAATACTTGCACAACATTTGTTTTGAGATGTATCTCCCTTTTACACTAACCTGAAGACATGTGGAGTACTGCTACTGGTGGGATTCGAGAGCCACTCTCCACGTTGCCGAGGAGCCTTTGCAGGACTGGGTGTGCCGTGCCCCTCAGCTTGATCCAGTAATGGCTCGAAAGAAATGACAGCCCTGGACCTTTTCTGTGCATGTCGGATCACAGATTCCTCACCTATCTTCGGAGCGGTGCGTACAAGACATGGTATGTCTTTTTAGTACACAATCCTTTTGAAGTGCCCCGTGCCGAAGAAACTGGCTGGGTGTTACCCCAACCAAAAGTTGCGGAGAAAGGTAGCGGCTTCTCAACTCGGATTTAGGAATGCTGTCGTGCAGCAAGGTGGAAACGGATAGCTACTTCGCCGCGGCCAACTTCCGCAGGTTCGTGCTTGGTCGCAACTTGACCGCAGAGGACTGGCAAAGGGAGTGATGTTTCTGACACCGGAACCGAGGTGGGTTTGTGGTTTCGGCCATGGCCCTGTTTGATTCATTCAAGTATTGAAGCCAGTTTAAGTTAAGTATTGAAGCCATTTCCCGTAACTAAATTTAAATAACCAAGTGCAGATGCCTGAAGCAGGAGGTGAAGAGGTTAAGACGTGAAGTATCCTTGGCAGTATCTTCTGGTGGAAAAGTCTCGTCTCTCCAGTCCCAGCTGCCTGTCAACATCGCAGGAGCCGTTGTACCTTGGGAGCTTGGCATACTGGCAAGTACACTTCGAGCCCCGCATCCTTTACAACGAGCAGGCGGGGATGGAGCAGCTCAACGCCTCACAGCAGTGAATGAAAAGGCACCGAAGATTGACTTTGATTGCCCAAGGTCCTCTCCCACATGCCTCTGGACCTTGGCCCCTGAGAACAAGCAAAAACTTTGCTGAGCACAACTTGTTCAGGTCCAATGTCTCAGCCGAGCTGCAGTGCTGCGAATGGGTGCTGTAGTCAAGGTGCGACGGTCTGAACGGGAACTCATTGAGATGAGCTTGTTTCCGGGTTTTACTCTGCATTAATTTGGAGCTGCAAAGCGGCCGGAGACAGTGTTCCGTCATCTGGCATCTACGCGGAGTTTCTTCAGAAAGCAGTCTTCCATAATGCACATAGACCAGATACCTGAGAATCCCAACGTGCATCTGGCACGATGAAATGACGAACAAGGGTTCAGATAGTGACTGGCTGAGGTGTTCGGAAAAGTTGGCGAGGTCGTACCAACCCTGCTAGGAAGAGGGCAAGAACGAGATATGAAGTGACATGAAGAAGTCTTGGCTTCGGGACCGTAGGCACGCTGCATGATCTGGAGGCGGCGCCGAAGGCTGCAGCTGCGACCTATGCGCGATGCGAGGCTTGAGTCAACGAGAGGGGCCGGCGAGGCTTTTCCTAAATTAGGCATGGTGTAATTTGCGTAGTTCACTGGCGAGGTATGGTGGCTGAGTTTGCCAGCTGCCAGCCATGAAGACAGATTGTTGAAGCAGGGGTTACTTTCTGGAGTTGGGATCTTGCAAGTCACTGCCGGGCACGAGCACTCGCACGTTGTGGCTAGTTTCAGGCGAATTGCTTCTTTTGCCGAGTTTGAAGGCAACCGTCTCAGCTGCAGAAGACTAAGAGCATATATGCCGTCCGGCTTCGTTTTGCTGTTTTGGATCAGGTGGCTCCTGGACATCGTGGCGACATCATGACCTTTGGCAACAATTCAGCTGTCCGCCGATTGCTTCGGCCCGCAAAATGTGCCGAAATTCTCGTGCTACTATCATACCGCACCGCTGCATCATCGCAAAATCATCTTAGTCAGTAGTTTGTTCTCGGTTGGTGTAGTTAGAGCGGTCATGCTCGAAGATGCTCGATATGCGAGGAAGCAGGGAAGGCGGCAGGAAGGCAGGCAGTGAAGCTGATCTGAAGGCACGGCTTATGAGATTTCATACAGGCCGGCTGCAGCGAAGCAGCAGCCTGCGAGACCAGAAGTCACGCTGCTTTTGTCGAGCGCGAGAATACGAAAGCCGAATCCTTGTGCAGCCTTCAACTGTTTTCAGGATGGGACTTTGCCTGGCTGACTCTTGATTCCAAATAAAGCAAGCACTGACAGCAAAGAGCTACGAGCTGCAAGTTCCCACGGCAACACAAATGCCGTGTAGATGCCCGATACTAATAGAGCAGGAGCAAAGGAGACCTTGCGAAAGCACCGTTCAATCTTTAGATCATGCTTCAAAGGTCACCTAGGCAGAGGAACGAAGACAACCAGAAGTTCTTATCCAGTGGCCTCACAGTGTGCATACTTCTATTTCTTCTTTTGGGAAGCATCCGGCTGGGAGGGCAAATCTTTGGCATCCACACCGTATCCGGGCGCCACTGCACACTCTAGGCCGATTCTTTTGCCTCTTTTGCTATGTTGGGGAAATTCCAGGAGGACATTCTCATCCCAACCTCCAGGCCCAAGGAATCCCAAGGCCGTCTTGGAGCGAGCAGTTTAGAGCTGACTGCTGCGAGCACGCTGAAGAATGCTTGGTTCTCAACCGTAAAGCCGTTATGAGGATGTTTCTACTGGTGACAGCATCCACATCTCGAAAGAAGTTGGGTCCAAGTCTTCAAGCCCACCTCATGGGTATCTGAGTCATTGTTCACCCCAAGCCCTGTACAGCACCAGCAATCCCCACCTGTCTTGAGGAAGCGGGCATCGGACCGCATCCGGATGTAACTGACCGATGGGGCCGCGAGTACTTCATGAACTTTCGCATGGAGGCCAGATTTGGTTTCAGAATGCAGATAGCCGTCGGGCTTGGGTCGAGCATCGTCGCGCAGATTGGCAGGACATGGCTGCCCATGCACCTGACAACGCCTATGGGGAGCTCATGGCGGACCCAAGGGAGATCACCAGCACCTCGGTGCAGGCCTACACAGACCGAACCTCCGGGACTGGTGGCATACTAGGAACAAATCAGAGCTAGGAACAAGCAGAAGTTCCCTGCCTGCAACTCCCAGGTGGCACATTGCTCACTTGACCTTCACACTTCGGATTCGGGTGAGTGGAGTTGACCTTTAGGTTTATGGGTTTTGCCCTCCCCAACGACTTTGGTCTCAGGCAACGCAGCCATCCATTGGCGAGGAAAGGCGCAACTTGGAAAAGACTTGGTTCGAAGGCTTCTCAGGAGCAAGGGCTTTGAGGGAAATCAGGCCCGTTTTGCGAGATCGCACGGAGGTTCCCACATCATATTCGTAGCTCAGCAGTTCACAGCCAACCCAGATCCAAGAATGGAGGCACAATCTGTTGAGTGCAATAAAATCGCAGTCATGGCACAGCAGTGTGCCGCGGATGTTCGAGAAGTGACGAACCGGTAGTTTGCCACCGAGATACCCAAAACTGCTAATCGATAGATACAATTGGAAGCTCGGTGCCGAGGCCGCACCGGGTTGTGTGACTGCAACCCTAACTGCACGTCCTGAAAACGCCCCTGCCGAAACACGGGACCTTGAACCAAGCCGATGGTACTGCACTTGCGATCTCGAGCCCAAGAACTGGACCCCCCGACCCCAAAGCACCGTAAGAGACTCCGAGGCATCTCTTCATGCCTTGCTTGTGGATCAACCGCTTCTGGGCTTCACCATGGCCGATCAGCTTCCATGACTACAAGGCAGCAGGAAATATCCACATACGTGTGTGTGTGTATATATATATATATGTAAATCATATACATGTATTTGTATCACATGTTTCAATTGCAGGAGTTATTCTGACCAACCCTTTCAGTGCAGCTTCGAGACCCCGAAGTGGATGTAATATTGCCACGGCTACCACCACCACTGCCACTTCTACCGCCGGTATCATGGTTCTGCCACTCCTATTAAATGTTTGAGACTTGTTTTTTGCAGCTGCCGTGCTTTGCAAACACAGCTGCATTTACCCGAATTTGCACAGGATCCCGAGAAGCTTCGGGAGGTTCCTTGGCACAGCGTTTATGTCTTTGCTCGGCGTTCCTCCGGACCTTGAGATTACCATTGGGATCATGGGGTATAGTGTCTCTCATGAGGAGACACCTTTGGGGCCACAGTTCAGGACTCCAGCCTCGAACCCCAAACAACAACAGCAGGAGTGATTCTGTTGCGATGCCGCCGGAGTTCACGTGTCATTATCCCCACAAAACCTCGCAACCCCTAGCTCAATGCTAAGACTTCGATCGCAAGACCATTCATGAAACCATAGTTCCCCAAAGTGATCTTAGTTCTAAACCCGAGATGCTTCGTTTGATGTAGATGTTAAGATGTATGAGGTGCACGAAATCATGCATGGCCGCCAAAGCTGCCGGCGCTGCCCCGATGGTTACGTTCCTCGCCTGGCAGAAGAAAAGCAGCGACTTGCTCGTGTGCTTGACAGTAGTTGACATGCACGCAATAGAAGATTATATTCATGACAAACATAATCAGACTGAAGCTAGTAATATCAGCCGAACTGAGACTGGTAGCCAAACGGTACATTGCATCAAGCCCAAGTTTCGCACGACCGTCCAAAGAAAACCGAAGACCATTGAAAAGCCACAAAAACTTGCACCAACAATAAACACTCAACACTGAAGTCGTGAACCACAAGATCCTAGCTTCGAAGCCGCGAAGCCTGAAAGCCTTAAACATGTAAAACCGTAAAGACGAAGACCCTTGGCCGTCAGCGGTAAACCCTTGAACCGAAGACTGCAGCAGCAACAGAACCCGGGGAAGTGTGGTCGGGCGACATGTTTCGAGGGTACGTAAGAATACCCACAAGAACAGAAAGCCGCTAGGAAGAAGGGTAATATGGGCATTTATGGACAGTGACAAAGATACTGCATACGGAGAACAGCACTGTAGTAAGAGCAGGTGCGAGACCAACGACTAGTACTCATAGGTATGAGAGAGCGACGGTCAATTCCATACCATAGCTTGATGCATCCTGCCAAAAAACGGGTCGGTTTGAAGCAGGGCCTTGCACATCCCCCAAATGTTGGTCTTTATTGCGGGGGTTCCGAAGGCTTCTGCGGATGACCCAAAATCTTGTCAACGACACCACCAAGCCCAATTCAGTCACGTCAGAACCCATGTGCTTGTCAGAAGGGGATGGGTTTGGCATCTCTTTACATCAGGTCCAAGGCAGCCAGATAGCAGATTGCGTCGTCATACGTCGTGCGAGCGCACATGGTAGCAAGCAACATCGCACTCTACTGCATGAGCCACACCCTCATCACACCGACAGCAGGAGGTTCGGCTGTCGCTATGTTTCGGCTCGCAAAGGAGGATGCGGCCCATGAGCTTGCTCCAAATCCAGGCTTGATCCGTCATCACTCTCAACTGGCCCGCAACTGCTTGTGCCCAACATGGACGGCGCACGCAGCAGCTGCAGTAAGACTCTGGCACAGCTGCACCAAATGCCCACCCTGCAGATTACACCGAAAACCCACCGACACGTATACAAAGCCGGGGCCACGAGTAGATTCGGAGACTTTGCCGAACATCTCAAACTCACGGACTTAAAGGCATCCGGTCGCAGCCCTCAACCCCTTGAGACTTGAGCCTTTGCAGATCCTCTCAGCAGCTCAAGAGCAAGTCGAGCTAAGCCCGCCGGCAATGGCGAAGGGCTGGGATCATGGACACCCGCCGTGCAGGCCTTTTGCAGAGGAACACTATCCTGTGTTGGATTTCGACTGTAAAAGTACTAGTAGTGATTTGCAATATGCGCAAGAGATTTTAAGTATCGGGTGTGGCTCTCGCCTGTGGCGTATATTCAGAAGCAGGGCATGTTATAGAACCGCCCAATTGGAACTTGTTTAAAGCAAAGACTGAGCCTTTTCCCACTATGCAATGATAGACTGCAAACATAATCATATGTGTTCTGCTTGTAACGTGCATGCATGATGTATGTGCAGGTGTGCATGCATGTCGTGTTTGTCATGTGCGCCGTGTATGTGATATATCTAAGTCAGTGTCTAATGTTGACGGGCGTACATACGTAGGTATGTGTGTACGTATGTATGTATGCATGTATGAGCGTAGTGATGAACATGTGCATGTATTTCTGAATATGGAAACAGAGCCACTTTCCCTGACGCAGCCCTCGCTCTACCACAACGCAGTAGACTCGTCCCGAGATCGCGAGCGAGAGCGAGAACGGTCTCTAGTGGCTGTAGGCACAGGCTCATTGGGTCGGCACTAGTCGCACGCTCACTGGTGGTAGCAGGCGCAAGATCGCTGGTAGCACGGTCACTGGTGTATGGGTGCGTGTGTGGTGTATGTATGTATGTATGTACGTACGTACGTACGTACGTATGTACATATGTATGTATACATATATATATATATGCAGGCAAGAGACACTGATAGATAGACGGATGGATAGACAGTTAGGTTTAGATAGATGCATAGATATGTAGGAGCCTTTCACACAGACCGAACATGCAAGGAATAGCAAAACCTATCACCTGCTGGTTCACCCCCGGCTGCTCTGCGCAGGCTTGCTGCTGTTGGTCCTGTTCGGAATCGCTGGTTTGGCATGGAGTCTCTCTCTACAAACGGGTGCTGTGAGCAGTTTCCATTCAAGCTTGTGGACATTCAGGAAATGGTTAGATTGCCCCAACAGTGAAAGTTCAACAGTGTTTTTCTTGGCGAGCTGGTAGACTTAGAGCTACAGTTTTTCGAGCCTCTGGTCATCCTGAAAGCCTAAGCACCTGCAACGTCTGGAATCATGAACCCCGAAGAGGATACTAGAATCCAACGTATAAGGAATTGGAACCAAATTGGGTCGTGTAGATCTTTGTCTCGAAGCATGTACCTGACGTCTCAAGCTGAAAGAACCTACACGACGATTTGGTTGTCTAATGCTGTCTAAGTCCCGGAGAGCCAAGCAGCCAATCTGCTCTCATGATGTGTCATCCCAAAGCCCCCAAGACATCCGAACGCGACAAGAACTGCTAACCCCAGGAACTCGAGAGTCAGCAGCATCGTCGAGGTCGTTCCAGCGGCAATTCCACAGGCTTGCAGAGGGCCACTGTAGTAATACTTTGGTAGCACGATAGCGGTGATCGTGGATAGGAACAGGGTCAGGGGGAGGAGGGGGAGGAGGAGGTGCAGCATGACGACGACGACGACGACGACGACAATGCGAGGGCATGGATCCTCATGATCGTCATCATCGTTGTTCGATGTTTGCCATTATCAACATATAGAGAGAAGATCGCCCAAACAGTGTCTGCCCCTTTGGGAGACCAAGCCCACATCCTCAGCTAAGCTCATTCTAGGGGTCTAACCTATGTCCAAACAAGGTGACAGAGCCCAATGCCCAATCCCGAAACCTTGAGTCGGAGGCGGCAGAGCTGCAAGAGCACCCTGGACGCAGCGAAGGGGCTGAGCGGTTGAGCCAACTTGTTGGTATGGAGCATTGAGTCTCGGGGATGCGGAGACTGCGCAGATCACTGAATTTGGCATCCTTGGCTCCCAGGGCGAAGCAAGATCCAGCCCGGCTTCGGCAAGGGCAGTCTGTTGGCTATGCCACTTGGCAGCAGGTTCTGTTACATTCATGACCAGTTAAGGTTGCAGGACCCGCTTCCCCGTGCCTCCTCGCTATAATTCCCCGGACAGGACACCGCAGAAGCCCGTGTGTCCTCATAAGTCTTGACTCCTCATCGAATCCCCAAAACCTCCGCACACCAAGACCGCCTTAACCGACGAAATGAAGCAAATCGTGGATGGGCTCACGGCAGCTTGGAAAACACAGTCATACGTCCTCGCATCATACAGGTTTTCACAAACATGCTCACCAGCAACATGCCAGAGACTTTCGCGAGTGGCCGATGTGTCATGAGCAGCGCTCAGGACGTGGTAGTCCTCCGCACGTGGGCCACTCCTTCTTGGTGGCCTGGCAGTGCATCAAGGTCGTGCGATATCCTCGATTGAGGCTTCGTGTGGAGGCCAGCAGCATCAGTCGGCACCAGCTGGAACTGTCGTAGCATTTATCACGGCTGAGTTTTGGCGCTTCTGAACGCCGCAATGCTGAACGAACTGCCAGTCTACCTCCAATCTCAAACACCCACCAACAGGTACAGCACCAACAGAAGCTAGCAGAATGCCGGCTGACTTGGTGAGGTTACACGCCGTGTCTGCGACCGCCAAAGATGACGCTTCCAAGGAGCTGCGGACGCAGAAGCTGCGTGAGTGCTGCTCGTCTTTTGCTGCGAGAATCGCAGGATCTGGATGTCAGGGTGTCGATGGTATACCATATAGGATTTCTATGCGGCCCAGGACCAGGACAATAGACATGAACCGCCAAAATGTTGGCGACCACTGCCTGGAGCCGATAGATTGCCTAGGTCCTTTGACAC